ATTTTTTCATAACGCGCCCGCGGCCAACTTCATGCTGTTACTTTTGGGTTACAGTGATGCGCGCGCATCTAAAAATTTCACTCTCCTCATTTTTCATAACGCGCCTAAAGAAGTATAACTTCAAAAATGAAAAAATACGTGTCCAATACTTTTTGATAATCTACCCGATAAACAAAGAAAAAAAAATTAGTCATCATCCCGAGTCCTGAGGGAAATCCTATCGTCCTATGAGTACATAACATGTTTTGAGTAGTTACGGTGAGCTTTTGTTCGACTTCATGATTGTAACAAAAAAAGCCCTAAAAGAAACAACAATGACGGAAAAAACTAAGTTCAAGGAGCTTTTTGAAGACTTTGTTTTGTGGAAAGAAAGCACAAAGTAGGTACAAACAGTACCACATCGCTGGTGACAATTTAAATGCGACCTTATTCCAGTGCAATAGGAGTAATATCCGTTAGAAAACAAAATGTATTCTCTATTTTTCTTAAAAGGGCAACTCACCATAGAAAAGCTGGCCTATTGTGGTTCCTTTTTGAAGTGAAACTTCTTTACGCACGCTTGACTTGGGGGTAAGCTGGCGAAAGCGTTACGCGTTACGAAAAGTGTGTTCGGGCGAGGCGAATGGGAGTTGAGTGGGGGATATAAGGAAGGGAGAGCAGTGCGCGCGCACATTTTCTTTCTCTCTTTCTCTTATAGCTAGTAAATGAAACATGTATATGTACATACATGTTTATATTGTACACATATATATATATATATATATATATACATTCAGATGGAGCTAAAGAAGTTTCACTTCAGTCGTGTGGTCATAAGCACATTCGTTTTTAATAATGGTGAAAGATTTTTTTCATAATATTTTTATTCAATTATTTACAACTAGCAAACCAGTGAACCAAATGTTCACTAATTAAAAAAAAAATGTATTTAATTAATTGAGAACTTCGGAGATTTTGTGTGGTTTCGTTTGAAATTCGTGATTTCTCGAAAACCGGAAGGGCTACGTTACTCAAATCCGGTTTGTAGTCTTATCAGACTATTCTTAACTTATAACTTAAACATTCTCTTTATCTATCTCTTACGGTTTGGCAGCTGAAACAGCACCACAGACAGACGGACGGACGGACGGACGGACTTGTCTAATAGATAAGAGATATGTCTCTTTAACTAGGTTATTCTTATTCAAATTTCAACGTGTTTAATAATATACTGTCCGTGCTCAAGGCTGCTATTTGATACAGCCAGGGGCGCGGGCAGAAGTCTGAAAGAAGAAGCATAGAAGGATAGTAAAGATAAAAGTAGGTATACAAGAAAATAGGGAGGTGAAAAACAAAGTAAAGAAAAATTTATTCACATTAGTCCCGTTAAATACTACTCGTTTGCTTCGAGTTGGCCGTCGATAGCCAATCACAGGCACATCAACTGTTACCATCGTCCAATAAGGTCGACTAATATGTTCTATGGGACGGCTTAAAGGATAATTAATAGATAATTACAAGTTGTATGTGCCAAAGATGAGACAGCTGATGTGATTCATAGAGCATCAAGTGGGTCACAGTATACGGAACATAAATAAACAACATAGTTATAACATATATCGTATTCACTACCATAGCCACACAAGAAACCAAATAACAACTTCACCTTACAGGTTTTTTGGTCAAAATTGTCACTGTCAAATGTCAGGTTCGAGTAAAAGTGTTTCTACTTTCTACAATTCGGGGTCCTACAAAAAAGTTCTTACCTAAAGCCTATTTATACATATATATATTGTAAATCCTTATGTACGATTCACACTTACCGGGCCGCGTCGAAGCTCAGAGCAGCCCATCGCAGCGGATGCTAAAATAAGCTGGAATCCGTCAGATTCCGTCATGCTTTAGCATCCGACGGCGCGCTTTCATGAAGAACTGATAATAGGCTACCATATGCATCGGTAGCCGAGAGTAACTGACAACGCCCCAACGACAACGGCTAACTAGAGCCGAGGTCCGAGTCTCAAAGACGCCCTCTAGTTGAGCCGACCCCTCAGGTTCAAGTGGTCTAAATGCTCCAGACGGAGGAGAGATTCGCCCCGTGGGGAGATACTATCCGCCTGGAATACCTCTAGAGGCACTCGCCAATTCTCGGCTTCAAGTCCCCTTTAGGATCTCGCCGTCCCAAAACCCGGTGACGCTGTAAAGGTCATCTGCGTACAGCATACACACTCAAAAACTAAAAATACCGATAACGTGCGCGAGGAGCCGATCGACTGTGACCTAGCTGCTTGAATTGCATGCAAATAAAGAACATCCTCATCGAGGAGCTCAATGGCGCAAGTGGTTAGCGCGTTCGGCTGCGATCGTTGAAGCTAAGCAACTTTCGCAGTGGTCGGTCATTGGATGGGTGACCAAAAATTTACTATATCGAGCTCCTCCGTGCTTCGGAAGGCACGTTGAGCCGTTGGTCCCGGCTGCATCTGCAGTCGTTAGCACCCACCAATCCGCACTAGGCCCGCGCGGTGTTTCATGGCCCAATCTCCCTATTCCATCCATAGGGAAGGCCTGTGCCCCAGCAGTGGGGACATTAATAGGCTGATGATGATGATGAAGGAACATCACTGCTTTGTGTATGTTTTAATTTCCTTCAGCGCTTTCAAGTGCATTGCGCTGCGCTCTGACGCACGGCGGTAAGTGTGAATCGCACATTAAGTTACATGTATGTTATTCATTAAAAAAAAATAGTCATATAGAACTAACAGCGATTGCGAAGCGGGTCAGAAGAGATAAAACGTGTCTTGCATAGATATGAGCAATCAATGCATTGTGTGTTTTTTTATAGTTTGAATTATTGCTCGGCCTGTTTCCACTTCGGCCTATTTGTGATAAGTTACTAATTGCAATAATAAAAAGAGTATGCTTATAGACGTGCAGGTTAATGGTATTTATTTATTTACAACATATTATTCTGTATGAGATTTTAGCAATATACAACGTACTGCACAGACTAGAACCCAACAATAGGGGTGATAATAAATAAAATAATAATAAATAAAATAAATAAATATTTCCGACACTCACACCAATTAGCCTAGCCCCAAAGTAAGCACTATAAGGCTTGTGTTATGGGATGCTAGGGTAACGGATAGAATACATATACTGTACATATATAAGTATATTTATATAAATACATATTATATCCATGACTGGAGTACAAATGCTCGTATTCATCACACAAACATCTGCCCCCACCGGGATTCGAACCCGGGACCTCTCGAGTCGGCGACAGCCATGAAACCCGGCGTACAAACCACTCGGCCACGGAGGTCGTCAATGATGACGTGAATGATGAGTGATGACGGGGTACAGTAAACGAAATTCTATTTAGTCCATCAGTTACATGATCAAAAAATAATGGACACGTATTTTTTCTTTGGGCAATCAACCAAAAAATGACAAAGTTATAGCGCGTCAAAGTTTGGGAGTAGGGGCTCGTGACGTCACTTTTAAGTGATAATTGTACCAAAACCTGACGTCATGCGACTTTTCAAATCAATATAGCTTTGCAATGTTTATATTATGTGAAAAAAGAAAAACTATGTGTCCAATACTTTTTTATAATCTACCTGATAAACGAAGAAGAAAAAATACTCATTTAATTTGGCTCTTGATTCAGACATGCAGTTAATAAATTTATCTTACTTTGTTTTATATTCTTTCACTGCCCTTTTTCATGCAAAGGAAGAACGGGCAACAACACTATGTAACCTAACCTAACCTAACCTAACCCATAGTGGTGGGTGCTAACCACGGGTGCTAACCTCGTTTTATCTGTTCTGCGATGCTAACGGCTACTGATGTATTTTATCATTTCTCAGAATCTTTCTTGGCAAAGGTCCTAAATGATAAACCATTAAATTATTCTTACGTTTTTTACACACACATCTCATTAAATAAAATTACTTTGCAACGTGTTTAAATTGTTTTTTTAATACTTTTTTACTTAGCTCAACGTCTTGCATCCTTCACTCTTCAAAAACGCACGCAGAGTAAAAAAAAATCAAAATTTAATATCGTTTATTCAGTCTAGGCTGTTACAAGCACTTGTGAACGTCGAAAAGCTACGCCATCAATTCGCAACTCTACGGCGGGAGACCCCGTACTGATAAGAACCGGCAAAAAACTCAACAAGAGTAGTTTTTTTCGTCAAATTGAAAAATGACTTCAATATGAGATAACTCATGAAGTCACTTCCCAAGTATTAAACACGCATTTTAAACCTGTTGAGAAGTAGTTACATTTATTTAAGTATTACTAGTTAACTTACATAAATTGTCTATGAAAAACATTGCTAGAGTCTTTATAAATAAACTAGCTGACCCAGCGAACTTCGTACCGCCATAAAAAAATAGGGGTTGGTGGTAGAAAGTTGAAAATTTAGGGATGTATTTTTGTATGATGTATAATAAAAAATAAAAAAACTAAAATTAAAAAAAAATAAAGGGGTGGATTACCCTTAACATTTAGGGGAATGAAAAATAGATGTTGTCCGATTCTCAGACCTACCCAATATGCATATAAAATTTCATGAGAATCGGGAAAGCCGTTTCGGAGGAGTTTAACCACCGCGACACGAGAATTTTATATATTAGATAAATATAATAAGTCTGTGCGGAAAGCGAAAAGGCGCGGCGAAAAACGGAACTAACATTAAAATTTTTATTTGGCAATCAAACCCAGCAATCTGTGAAACGTCAAAGTTTTGTATTGATACTGATTTGTTTGTTGTTGTGATTTCTTGCGGTTTTTTGTATTTAATCATGTCTAAAAGGGGTAAAACCTTACAAATACGGTAGAAAAGCACTACAGCGCTCTCCAATCTAAATCCCATTCTCTTTCCGCACATACTAGGCTTATATCATTATTAATATACCTACCTACTTAAAAGTAACTAAATCAACATATTTTCTTGTTTCACAGACCAAATCGGACACATGACTCGTTAACCACCGGAATTCAAGATGGTGGACACACAGCACTTCTGCCTGCGGTGGAACAACTACCAGAGCAGCATCACAAGCGCCTTCGAGAACCTTCGGGATGACGAAGACTTTGTGGACGTGACCCTCGCGTGTGACGGCAAGAGCCTTAAGGCCCACAGGGTCGTACTGTCAGCCTGCAGCCCCTACTTCAGAGAACTATTAAAGGTATAATTTCAAGTTATATATATTTTTTTAATTTTCATGGCCTCTAACATTATAGTCATCATCAGCCTATTAATGTTCCCACTGCTGGGGCACAGGCCTTCCCTGTGAATGGAATAGGGAGATTGGGCCATGAACCACCACGCGGGCACAGTGCGGATTGGTGAGTTCTAACGACTGATGCAGCCGGGACCAACGGCTTAACGTGCCTTCCGAAGCACGGAGGAGCTCGAGATAGTAAATTTTTGGTCACCCATCCAATGACCGACCATTGCGAAAGTTGCTTAACTTCAACGACCGCAGCCGAACGCGCTAACCACTTGCGCCATCGAGCTCCTCATAACATTATAACAACATTATAGTAATTAATGTTATTTCCGAGATTGTTACCATGTACCTTGTTGTTAGCGAGTTTCGAGAAAATTGTATCGTTTTTAAAATATCCTAAAACGACCCAAATTTGGAAATTACATACCTGGGGGCCAATCGCCTAACGGAAATGCTTTGGAAAACGCTAACGCTTACGATTTTATTTTGTTATTTCTGGCCGCCTGAGGTATTCAAATGCCCCGCGCTCTTTCTTTTTCTTTTGCATTGGTAATAACAATATTAAAAAAAATGAGCGTGAGGTATTCGAAAACCTCAGGCGGCTAGAAATAACAATATAAAATCGTAAGCGTTAGCGTTTCCCAAAGCATTTCCGTTAGGCGATTGGCCCCCTGTTATGGTATTATTATCCGTTTAAAGTACTTAGATCCAAAAATTAGTTATATTTGAATCAATTAATGACAACTAAAATTGTTAAGGTATCATAATTTCGAAATCTTAGAGGTAACATGGAGACACTTTCCGAAAATAATAATTAGAGAAAAAGTATTTTTGCGGAAATATAAAGTGCTCAGTAACCCTAGCACGAACCAATATCTAATCGAATCGTTTGCGTAATCGAAATGTCATTGTCAAATGTGTACTGATTTTTAGTTCTCGTTACGTACTTTGTGCCGCTGCTGTTCAAGTTTTCATTCAAAATTTGACATTGACATTTCGGTTTACAAACTATTCGAATTCGATAATGGTTCGTGGTAGGGGTATAGATAACTAAAAATTAACGGTGTATTTAATATAACACTACTACAACTACCGAAAGGGAATTAAAATAAGCAAAATATATGTGTATTTATATTAGTTATATGTTTTGCATGGCGTTATTAAAAATAAATATAATACAAAAGGCAAAAGATTAATATCGCAAACAAATTATTATCAGCTTATTTGACACATGAGTGTAGAATTAGAATAAGTATTCACACTTTATTTTATATTCTTTCAAGAGTTAATGAAACATTTGAGAATTTGCGCTGACACATAATTAATAATACAACAATTCCATTAAAATATAGAATAACAAATATTGACTTAACAAAGTTGTTACGTAGTTGGGAACGTAAAGACATCAACGCGTGGAAATCAAATATAATGCAAAAAGATAGCTTTGAAAATCTTTATATATATAATTCTTCTGTGAGTGTGTATGTCACTGAACTTCTCTTAAGTCCATTCGGACCGATTTTGATGAAATTTTTTGTGTGTGTTCAAGGGGATCTGAGAATGGTTTAGATTCACAATTTTGTCCGCTGGACAACCCCTATTTTTTTAGGGCGGTACGAAGTTCGCTGGGTCAGCTAGTGTATGTATATAACACAAGATCTATAAATTTAACAAGATACAATTTTGGAATACAAACAAAAATTATCTTCTTCAATGTCGCACTTTTACGGATTTCTATTAGAACTGTCCTAAATTCTTTGTTTTATTATTATTAAAATGTTGCCTACATTTTTATTATGAATCAGAAACGGTTCTCTTTCAGAAGATTTCAGAAACTATTTATAAAATATAAAATGCGAATACGAGCAAAAATTATGAAAAGTCTTATATTTTTACAAACACAGAGGACACACGTAACAAAATCCGTGAAACGTAAAATTTCAAGGACGGGAAAAGTCTTGTAAAACGTAAAAAAAATTTCAACATACAAAAGAAAAAACTTGTAAATAAAAACATAAAATTTAGAACTTTGTCAGGTGTGGGGTTCGAACCCACGCTCCCTCTCGGGAACCAGAGCTTAAATCTGGCGCCTTAGACCACTCGGCCAACCTGACTTGGAAACAGTAAGCGAAAATACTTATCTGGTTCTGAGCTAACTTAAGGCGCGTTATCATGTCAGCCAACAATGTGACGATTTTTGAAATTATACTTCATTTTTTAATATCGATACTTTTATATATATATAATTATTAATCGAAAGCTTTTATTATACTTGCAATATATGTATGTATGTATGTATGGTATGTTTGTTCGGGTGGAATCTTGCAACACAATTTTGAAGCAGATGTCTTCATTGGATTGAGCTGAAATTTTGTACAAACGGTTAGTTTAGATGACAAAGCATGGTTAGCTGTATGACGTCATTTGAAATTCAATATGGCGGACCATACAAGATGGCGGACTAGTTATTTTTGATGCACTCCAACAATATGGGTATCAAATGAAAGAGCTAGCTGAGACTAACTCGAAAAAAAAGTTACCTTAAATCCAATGTGGTTGGCTTAAAAACACGGCAGAATGAGTTTTTTGTGCTTTCCTACAATATGGGTATCAAATAAAAGGACTTGATGAGAATAACTCGAACAATAAAATGATGTTACCTTAAATCCAACATCGCTGGCTTTAAAATATGGCTGCCTAAGTTTTTTATGCTTTCCTACGATAGTGTATCAAATGAATAGACTAGCTGAGAATATGGCAGTTTGAAATTCTCGATTATGTCCATCAATAACTAACAAATAATAAACAAATGAAAGTAAAAAAAAAAACTTTTATTTTATATAAATTGTGTAATGACGTTATAAGTTCATATCAAAAGTTTTAAAAGTACATTTTATTTTATTCATTTTAGCGCGTTTAAATAAAAGCTTGTTTTAATTTTTTTTCCTTTAATTTTTTTAATAATACGTTTATTGAAAAATAAAATATATATTTATGTCATTAAATACAAAAAAAAATCTTCTGCATTTAGCTAATCACTATTAATAAATTAACTCAACTTTTTAAATATTAAAGGCAATTATTAAGCACAGTACAATTATCAATTCATCCATATTATTTCTAATCATTTTAAGTATGATGTTATCTTGTCTAGTCTTTGGGCTTAGCTTAGGATAGTTTGCACCATATTATTTGTATTAAAAAAATCACTTAATTAAAGGAAATGTCATTTTATTAATGAGGAGCTCGACGGCGCGTGTGGTTAGCGCGTTCGGCTGCGATCGTTGAAATTAAGCAACTTTCCCAGTGATCAGTCATTGGATGGGTGCCAAAAAAATCTTCTATCTCGAGTTCCTTCGTGCGTCGGAAGGCACGTTAAGCCGTTGGTCCCGGCTGCATCTGCAGTCGTTAGCACCCACCAATCCGCACTGGGACCGCGTGGTGGGTCATGGCCCATTCTCCCTATTCTATCCGTAGGGAAGGCCTCTGCCCCAGCAGTGGGGTCATTAACAGGTTGATGATGAAACGAAATATATCATCAAAACAGAAACCAATAGAATTCACACTTTTTTTTGGGCAGTTAAAAAATTTAACTAACTGAGTACTAGGTATCAATGAAAAAATCGTTTTAACAAAATAAAAAATGTATCGGATCCCGACACCGCTAAGCCATTAAAGCTGCATCGTGTTTGGCTAAAACTCTATGAATTCGTTATACTCACTGACCGACCGCCATTTTAATAAATCACGCCTTTACGCGGCACAACACTAAATTGATACCAACGTATCAGGGTCATCACATCGCATAAACGCACTGTCCGATGCGTTCAGATATTTTTTTTTAGTTTCTTAATTTTTTAGTTAATATTAGATTTGACCGCTGAATACTTATATAATAAATAATGCTTTTTATGTTAATGTAATATGCCATCAGTTTTTTTTTTGTTTTTTTTCGAAATGGCTTCGCACGGCTTGCGCATTTAGCTAATGTCAAGTGTTAAAATGTTTACAAATTCTATAGCACTCGTGCTCAAAGTAATAAATCAAGTCAATCCCCCTTTCCCTATGTTTCAGTAAATGTGTGGGGATTTACTGGAACCTCCCCGTGGACTTCTTGTGGGAACGTCGAAAGACACTTTCCGCTATTTTATTTCACTTGCCAGCACTTGTGCATGTTCCCGAATACTTAGTGTAAAACTAAGTACAACACTTATTTGTATTCTGCCAAACTGTGCAACAGTTTGTCGACAGTAGCTCTCTTGAACGTTGCATAATTATTTTTGTACTTATCTCACTATATTTAAAAAAAAGATACCTTAAATATAAAATGGAAAATATTTAAATGATCCAAAAAAATAATCAGTTAATGATCACCAAACAAACACAGCTGATAACCTAAGATTTAGGTTAACTTTAGCAATGTCCGCGACCTCAAACCCCTGAGAATTAAAAACTATTCCCTCGATGTTCATTCAAACATGTGCCATCGAAAACAAAATAAGGTACATACTCATATATATTTAAATTTTATATCTTTCTTACTCAATCATGCAATAAACTATATTTTTTTACTAGCTGGGCCTCTCGTAAAACATAGCCTATGTATTAATCCAGGGTGTCAGCTAACTCCATACCAAAATTTATTAAAATCGCTCCAGCCGTTTAGTCGCGAAGAAGTAACAAACAAACACACTCACAAACTTTCGCCTTTATAATATTACTGTGATAAGAAACAGGACTGTTGTGCCTTCTTATAGAAGTGTCAAAACAAAAAATGTTACTTGGTCTGTATATTGCTCTGATGTCATCTCTTCACTTCATCCCAACTTTTTTATGGCAAACGTGCCACGCAAATAAGGCCTTTTTAACATTTTTTAATCTGTACTATGATTATGGAACATTTTTAATGTTTCTCACGTATATCATTATATAAATTAAAAAGAAATGATTTCTCTGACCTGGAAAAAATGAAATACAAAATGAACCGACTTCGACTGGTACCTTTCTAAGATAAAAAAAAAATCCCTGTAAACACAAATACTTCATTGCAATAATTTTTAAAGTGAAAGAATTAAAGCTGCTATGTTTCCTGTGTAAATGTTTTTTAAACATTAAAAACCATTTCTTTAATAATTACTAAATGATTACGCTGTCTTTTTAACGCTATTCAATTATACATAATTTTGTATACATCATTTATCTGTAAAATCTTTAAATCCTGGGATCCTTTAAAAGAGGCGTGAAGAAGCAACATGCAGGCCGGCAGGGTGAGGATGGCTGGTGTGGCAGGTAGAACTATTGTATAAGCTTCACTTAACATCAGGTGGGGCGGAGTCATTTGTCGGACCTATCTATAAAAAAAAATAAAAAAATCAACGAATTCATCAAAAAAGTAAAAAGTGAGCACAACCCTAACATTGAAATACAATTTTTCTATCATATATTAAAAGCACGCATTAAACAGAACATAGGTGAGTCGCAGTTAAATCTGATTGATGTACGTTTTGTTAAATTTTCATGAAAAATAAAAACCAATCACGGTGAAACTTTACCAGCTACATAAATTACCTAGGTACAATATTGGTTCATAACCAAATTGTATAACTCAAAATACTTTATTGTTAAAAGAAATAAAAAAGCCAAGGTTGCTCGGGACGCAATACAGAAGTGATAACTTTAATTATCCTTTTTTGAGCACAGGAGATTCGTAGTGAAAAGGGGATTGGAGGGTATAAGGGATTGGTGGGTGATAGTGGGGATTTATGGGTGATACTAGGGGATTGGTGTGTGATTGTAGGGATTGATGGGTGAGGCGTAGGGTGGCTCTGGGGATACCCTTCTGGTACCTGGGCGAGCTGTGGCGTCTATCTCCGGCGCGGCGTAGAGAAGTCAGTCTGGCGCCGTAACGCGTTACGTAACGAAGCGGTTTACCCACATATAAGAAGTTATCACTTCAGAAACGTTAAATTAACATTATACTTTAAATAATCATTTAAACTAAGACTGTTTTGCACGTGGTAGTAGAATTGTAGAACAGTGGTAATCTTTTTAAAAGTTTGTACTTAGGTTGACCGAAAACATTAACTTTAAAGTTTTGATAGCTATCAAATATCCATAATAAGTATATTTGTTTATACAGCCTAATTTTAGCTTAGATATAAGAGAAATCGTGGGAAAATATGTAAATAAACTATTTGTCGCGAAAAAAAAACTTGAGTATAGTTAGATAGATAAATAAAAACTTTATTCTTAATTTTTACTTTATTCTCAAAGTAGCTAAAAAATTATTTCAAAAATCATACACCAGCTTGTAACTTATCAAATAAATCCAATGCTTTCGGCAAGCGAAATATGTGCAAGGCAAGTAGAATTCCTAAAAAAAGATTTAAAATAATCTGTATTGTAATTCGTTGGTAGTCAAAATGCTAAGCCATTGCATCAAAAAACCTTGATCCGAGAAAACCCGACTTCATCAGAGGCTGTTTTTTGCAAATCAATCTTCTGTTCCAGTCAACGCCGTGCAAGCACCCGGTGATCGTGCTCCAAGACGTGGCCTTCTCGGACCTCCACGCGTTGGTGGAGTTTATATACCACGGCGAAGTCAACGTCCACCAGAGAAGCCTGACCTCATTCCTGAAAACCGCCGAAGTACTCCGCGTCTCCGGGCTCACACAAAACGAGGATGTGCAGGTGGTTAGTCTCGTGTTAACCCCAGGAACTTCCGAGTATCTTCTTGAAACTCTGGAACTGAGCTGTTTCTACCTGAATACCATCTTCCTTAGTGTCACCGCACACGGGCCACCGACCACAACCACAAAACTCCGCCACCGGCATTTTTATATGGACTCACCACACACGGTACGCCGGTGGCCGCCACACCGCTGCCGTCTTGTGGCCCGCACCGGCCACTTAATGCGCCGATACAAAACGCCGCCACACGTCACTCGCGCGATTCCCCACCCCTGTCTCCCTTACCTTAGTCGGCCGCTGTCGCGCGCTTCAGCCACTTTAGTAGCCGCTTCTAGCTTCTCGTGGCGGCGTTTGTGGCTGTGGTGTGTGGCCCGTGTGCGGCGACACTAAGATCGCTAAAATTCTCCGCGTCTCCGTGCATTCGCAAAACGAGGAAGTGCAGGTAGTTGTCTCGTAACCTCCACAGTGCCCTCCAAAAGTTTCTAGAATCTCCTAGGAACACTGAAGGCTGTCCTGATTCCTGACGAGGATGTGCAGAGTTGCGTGCAGGTTGAGTTCGTGTAAGCGCCAGGTACTTTTTGGAATCTCCTACTGAACTATGGAACAGAACTGCTTCTCCTGAATGAAGGTATAGTTTTCCGGGCTCACGTGGAACAATGATTTGGAAGTGGTAAGCCTTGTGTGTATATAGGTATAATCAATTATACCATAAGGATCTTTTTAGAATCCTCTAGAAATTCGCTCTCCCTGAAGACTACTAAGCTTCGTGTACAGCTTAATCCAGGAAGGATTTGCAGCTATTAAGTCTGGTGCTACGCAGATTAACAATGAGTAAGAGTGGAGAAGATGTGCAGGTGTGGCAGAGCTTTCTATAACATTTTAGAGTACTCTCCAAAATTTCGATCACAATCCACTCACAGTTTATATTGGGTGGAGATGTGGCGGCGACATCCACATGCCCCACATATAACCAACATAGAGGAATTAATCACTCGCCTCCTCAAGAGATGGCGCTGCCGGCGCTGCACTCAAATGGTATGGAAGCCTACATCGCGCAAGGGATATTCGGAGGTTAACACTCGCTATATGCAATGTCTCTCCAACATAAGTTGGGCTCCACGACAACGGGTAACTTGAGCCGAGGTCTGAGTCTCAGAGTCGCCCTCTAGTTGAGCCGACCCTCTCAGGTTCGAGTGGTCTCACAAGTGTAGCCCCATATATTTAGAGAATTTTTGTAAGGAATGTTCATATAATACATCACATAGATCACATATGTATCTTCTTTATAGTAATAATATATTAAAAACAGCTTTACCAAATCCGAAGCGACGTCCTAATCTTGCGACGGTCTACGATTGTGGAAGTCAAGCAGCTTTCGTAATGGCCTGTTTTAGGATGTGTGACGAAGAAGTTACTATCTCGAGCTTCTTCGTGCTTCAGAAGGCACGTTAAGCCGTCGGTCCTCTTTTCATATGCAGCTGTTAGGACCCAGCAATGGTGTTTCCACCCAGCGTGGTTGATCACAGCCCAATCTCCCAATTCCATTCATGTGCCCAAGCAGGTTGATAAATTCTCGGTTTCTTCCCAACAGCCGCTTCTCCAGACGGTGCGGGCATCGAACACCGCGCCATCGCCTCACACGCCGCCGCACCCCGCTCACACGCCGCACGCCGCTCACACTCCGAGCTACACCGAGAAGTTGGAAGAAGCCCTCTCTATCCCCACGACCATCCCCAACATGATGGGGATGCGCCGTATACCCCTCCCCCCGCGCCGCATCAGCCGCTCCGCCGACAACTCGCCTGACGTCATCAAACGCCCGCGCCACGATAACAATAACACGGAACAGCCACAGATACACGACTTCTCTACCAAGAACCATCCTCTGGTGAACAACACCCGTGCGCACGAGTCAGGGAACAATGGCAATGGAATCTCGAACAGCAGCTCCTCACCCTCGCCTCGGCTCATGGACGAGGTCAAGAACGAACCTCTGGACATGATCTGCGTGCCCAACGCTGAGATAGACCGGAGTACTGATGACACGCCACCCCACACGCACCACAGACAACTTGTGAGTTGGTAAAAGTTACCCTTTTAAGCATTTTTTTTTTTTAATTTATTCTGGCCGTGGAGACTTTGTCCTTTAGCCGAAATCATTTAAACATATAACATAAATATAACAAAACAGAAATAGGAGTGTAAAATATTAAAATTAGCAAGTAAATACAATGCATTAAATATCTTATATAGGTATAACATAAACCGCAACTCAACTTTCAATCAATTAAAAAATAACATCTAACTTATGAAATTCCAATCACCTAAACTATTTACAAATTATTTACAGTATTACACACAAACTGGAAAACAGGTAGGAAAATCTTGGTTCCGATAGAATGTCTATAATGCGGCGGGGAACAATTCGTTGCAATTCTTCGGAGATACTTTCAAGTTGGCTGACAAGTAACAATCTCTGGATCCCAAAAGCAGAGCAGGAAAAGATTAACTATTCAATATCCGCATTCTCTTGATGACAATCTGGGCACCGACTATCAGTTCTTATTTTCAGCCTGTAGAGGTGACTAGGCACTAAGCAATGGCCAAACCGTAACCTGTTGACTGTAGTTATAAATTTTCTTGAGTCACCAATTCTTAAACGCCATTCAATAACATAAAAATTCAATAACTGTACTAGAAACATAATTTATAAATCCCCACAATGTAGATACTAGGTACTCAGTTTGAGAAATCGCATTGAACCCATGACCTTTGCGTTATCATCTTTTTAATAGATTCGTCAAAATGTCATTTTATTGCAAATTAATTGTGATGTAGTTATTTACTTGGCATCTTGTTATCATCTAAAAAAACAATCTAGTTATTTATTACTAAACGTTCTAGATTAGGTACTTTGCTCAAGTTTACCCGAATGATGTTGAGGAGTCTATGAAAACTTTAATTATTATAATACTGGTCCTTATTTGATTACAATTAAAAATTGCTGTTAAAAATCCAAACCTTACCAAAGATTTGGATAGAAAATATCACGATTTTCGCAAATTTAGCTACTGGAAATAATCATATCAAACAACAGCATATATCATCCAAAAAAGTACAGATATCAATAGGTACTTTATCTAAATACCTACCTCGGAAATGATGCAACCGCGATAATGGTCCCATTTCATTCTAACACAAGATTAGTGTCGCAATAGTTATATTATTGTTCTGGTGACCTTGCCGATACGCCGTACAGACTGGCCGTCTAGCCGTGTACCGGGAATCACCAGGTGTCAAGTGACCGTATGTCAATATGCTGCTGTGAACCGAACATGACACTGACCAACTAAATGCTTAAGGCAAAATGAATTTTTGTCAAGTACTCATCTCTCACTCCCACCTGCTCTAACGTCCTATTTTGTTTAAAGAAAAGTTTACTAGAAAAAAAATCCACGCGGACCAGGCAGCGGACGGGACTCGAACCCGCACCCTTCACAGTCCGGGCGAATGCACTGACCATTATGCTACCACGGCCCTATTCGCCGCGTCGAAATTTTCCTAGCCTTAAGCTGCAAGGCAGCGCCATCTCTTCGCATTGTAGGTAACCCACAATGTCAAATGAATACTTTTTCAAGTATTAAACATTTGAAAGAAGAAATAGCAATTATAGTGGTAGCATAATGGTCAGTGCATTCGCCCGGACTGCGAAGGGTGCGGGTTCGAGTCCCGTCCGCTGCCTGGTCCGCCTGGATTTTTTTCTAGTAAACTTTTCTTTAGATTTAAACAGCTAGCAGTTAAATGCTTAAAAAATAAAGTATAAGTCCTATTTTGTGATAAAATATCTATTTTATTTTTTAACAAACTGCTAGATTTTTAAATAAAGGGTATTTTATTAGAAAACATCTCGAAAGAGAGGCAGGGCATTCCATCCATCCATCAGCCTTTCTCCGTCCACTGCTTGGACATAGGCCTCCCCCATAGAATGCCACAATGCGCGGTCCTGCGCTATCCGCATCCAGCGGCTCCCAGCATATTTGACGATGTCGTCAGTCCACCTTGTTGGGGGCCGGCCCACGCTGCGTCATCCGGTGCGTGGTCGCCACTCGAGGACCTTTCTTACCCAACGGTTGTCAGGCAGGGCGTTCAGGGGAATTAGAGCGAGCGCCCGTCTGGGGCGTTTTACCACAGTAAAACAACACTATTTTTTGGGGTAGGGGATTACTTCAGGGTAGGCAACTGGGCGTGTGATATGTTTTGTATCGCAAGTGTCTATAGTCTTGCCGCTTACCACCAGGCGGGAGTTATCAGAGTACATTCGAACCAGTCTTTGCTATACAGGTCAATACGGTTTATAGATATATAGGTTTCAACCCGCTGCCGTTAAATTTTCATTGGATATGAAAAATTTAATTTCCATTTGATTCTTAAACAGGCATTATGACCCACGTTATGGTAAGCGGGTATCTTAACCTGAGTTTTTCTATGCGCTACCCATCCTGACCCTATGATCAAATATGTCCAATAATTTTAATGTACTTGTTTTCAAATTCAATCTTAAAAATCAAGAATATCATTATAACAATTGCTAAAAATGGTTATAAGTATACATGTATTCCAAATGAATCTCAACTTATCTTTCCCAAAACATTTCGGGGTCTCATAGAAAAGGTTTCTCATTTTAAAAGTTAGATTGAAATTCTACTTGCTTTGATAGTTGATGAGACACCAGGTTGTTCAACGGTCAACGTCAAATATTCTTAATCCAGTCTCGTGGAATGACTTTTATCACTTTTATATATTTTCAGAAAGTCAATTAGTAACTTTTATATGTGTTTAAAGTACGATGAGCTTCAGATTACGTTTGAAGGTTTTACTTGTAACGAAGAGTGATACACAAAAAATACATAAGGTGATTAAAGAAACCCAAAATAAAATATGTATTATAACACAAATTTGTTTTTAAAGTCTTAGCTTTTCATCAGAAATTTATTCAAATGATATCATGAACTCAATCTAATTCAGATAATCACCCCTGAATAAAGGAAGTTTTAGATTAGAGAATCGTCAAAGATTAACTGTTTTGTTAACGCAACTACAATGCCTACATTATAAATTCTCAGGGAGGAGGCCCACCGTCGCGCGGCAGCTCTGCCGAGGCCGATGACCGCACGCCTCCTCCGCAGCTGCCCCCATCGCCGTTTGTGCCACCATCTGACACAAAATTCCCGCCTTATCCATTCAGCATGGCGCCACTGTCTGATACATCATTATCTGGTAAATATACTCGTCATACGAATGTACTAATGAGAGTTTTTGACATTTATTTAAGGGAAAATAATAAAGTAACTATCTATAACTATATTTTTAATATTAAAATATGAATTTTATTGTCGAGAAATGCGATCGTTTATTTTATGTCCTAAAGCAATCATTAGTGCAATTAAATACTTAAGACTGGAATAGCTCAGTCCGAATGCATATGAACTTATAGCATTTATTGCAGGGCTGGCGAATCCACTGGTTCCCGACAGCATGGCAAGCACGTCTCAAGGTGAGTCTTGGCTTGTTTAGCAACAAGTTTATTTTATGCATACATATATTGAAACAAACGATATTTTTAATGCACTGTCTGTCGTATGCCACCATCACCGCTTCCTCTCTGCTCTGTCATTATTAGGTTTATCTATCATATAGGTTTTTATATAAAAATGATGTATGAGGCAATATCGTGATCTATATACAAATATATATTATATTTATTATAATTATATATCCTCTAAATTAACCTCTGTATATGTCTTCATTTTGTGCTCTGTGTTTTGTATTAATGTTTAGCTTTTGTGTTTTGGTTCGATGGATACTTGTAGGTATTAAACAAAAATCTATTGATCGCTTTAAATACGTTGTCAGCTCTGGTCGTCCTGTTTATCATTGAACCAAAATACAATGTGGCGTGCATGTTATTGTATTGTAACCATAGATTATTGTATCCTAAACAGGAAGATATGCTAGCTTGTTTTTATAGATGTGACTTGAATTGTGTGCTAGGTAAATCCCGCACTCCCAATCTCCAACTTAGGTTACGTTTTTCTATATATTTTATTTAAATTATTTAAACTTTTTGCAACTTATAATTTCTTCATTCACGTCATTTTCGTTATTTTGTTTTGGACCGTTCCAGTAATGTTAATACGAATTTAAAATGATTTTAATGCACTTGACTCTTGTAACAACGTACCCAATTGGCTGTAAATCGTATCATTGATTTGACAAAACCAAACATAATTGTGTATCGGACAAACGAAAAGAAGAAATTTCAAAATTCCGTTCCAAGGAAATCGACCGCCCGTCCGGGTTGCGGATAAGTTAAATTCACTCATTACATGCGAAGCATAGCGGATCCCATGAATCATTAGTGTTTCTAAATAAACTCTCCAATTACCATTAATCGCATTGTCTTGGGAAAAAAAAATAGCATGTAGAAATAATAACCGGGGGACATTCAAGATCGGACAATGGAAATTTAGTAATGGTATCGGTTTTTATTTAAAAAATACCTCTCAATTTATTTCATTGAAGAACATTAACGCTTTCTTTGAAGACATTCGAAACTGTCAGGCGGCCGGCTCGCGGGTTGTTATGAAAACAACCATACTAGTATCATCGCACGCTCATTGCCGTAAGCTTACGCGAGCTGACCCTATCGAAAAGATTAGGCATCGACACAAAATGTATTTTTACTAATACCGCTTCGCATATATTCGGCGCGACGGATGGCTATCATCAGAGGGGGGTGGCGGTGCTTGATAGAAAGAGAGGCTACGATATGGAGAGTGCATTAAAAGTGCGTTCGGAAGCTTCGAAGGGGCTAACTGCTTGTGTTGTGACCAGGTGGCGCCCGCACCCCCCAAGAAGATTACCGATGCGAGCCGTGTAACAAGAGCTTGTCCTCGCTCACGCGGCTCAAACGGCATATTCAGAACGTTCACATGCGACCGTCCAGGGAGCCAGTGTGTAACATTTGCCGGCGCGTATACTCCAGCCTGAACAGCCTCAGGAACCACAAGTCCATCTACCACCGCAAGCAGCAGCCGCCCGCCTCCCAGGGGCCTTACTTCCCCGTCAACTGACGCCGCCGAACCGCCCCGTACCGCCCGATGCCATACGAAGAAACAGAGCTGCCATCCTAACCACCTAAACGCCATTCTCTTGCCCGCACACCTGTGTTAAGTTAAAAAACGATAATGTGACGCGTGACCACTATATTACGTTCCTAACATTTGTACATAGCATAGTTTATATACATGTACCTACTTGCATGCGCATCGCAGAACTTTATTATATATTATATTATCGTATATATCCTCACTTTTTATATAACGAGCGAGCGTAGAAGCTATATCTGGAACCAATTGGGACATCTAAGCGATCGGTACACACATAACCACCAACCGGTTGAGAGAGCGCATTAGTCAAAAGAAATCCGTGCCACGGTTCGCATCGGGTTTAACTCAGTTTACGTGACTTTTAATCGTAGTAGTTTGTGCCAATTGGTTCCGCCGATATGGGACCCTTTGGAGAGAGTGCAGCGGTGCCGGTGCGGTGTGGTGATGACTAATGCGCTAACGTTGGTTGTTATGTGTGGCGCAGTGGGGCCGCTGGGCGCGGGCCACCGGTGCGAAGTGTGCGGCAAGCTGCTGTCCACGCGGCTCACTCTCAAGCGGCACACGGAGCAGCAGCACCTCCAGCCGCTTCACTCGGCGCGCTGCGGCCTCTGCCACAAGGTGTTCCGAACGCTCAACTCGCTCAACAACCACAAGAGCATCTACCATCGTCGCCAGCGACAGCCCCCCGCGCCCTCGCCCGCGCACCTCCAACACCAGCCCCAGAACCTCACCACCTCCCCGGACACCAAGATCAATCCGTCCCACCACAACATCGACTTCTACAAGTTCAAAGATCAGTTCAACGTCTAACTTCAAACCGGTTTAGCGAGTGAACCTTAATTTTTACGCTTTGACTTTAAACTCGAAATACTTTGAGGCATATTCTACGTTAAATTATAGACTTATTATAAGATTTATATTTTGAGATGATATTTATTGTTTTCGTGTTTTTTTTTTGACTTTTTTTTTGAGAACTTTGAACTTGTGAATATCGATTTGGAGTTGGTTCGGATTGGAGTCGTGGACCATGACGACGACGACGCTGACCAGTTCGCGGTGTATTATATACTCGTGAATTTCGACATTCCACGTTATTTGGGCTCCGATCGTTGACTATATTGTTAAAATAATTATTATACTCTAATTGAGAGAACACGATCTCCCCGGAGCCTCGTGCAATACTGCGGTATGTGACAATTCCTGATGTTTTTTTACACTATGTTTAATGTGTGACAATAAGGCGAAAAGTTAAAAAAAAAAGAAGATATTTTGAGAAAAGATGAAAAATCTTGGTGCTGTAAATTTATATATTAGGCTTAAATTTAAATTAAAAAAAAAGGAACAGTGTTCGAGTAAGTAACATGAGAGGCATATTGTTTTCAACATTGTGTTCATTTTTCGGCGTTTTTGCAATTATTATTTTTTTATTTATTCTGTACTTTACCTGCATGATCTCACTCTTAGATATTTATACGAGATTACTAAAAGCTATTTAGAGAAAAAACGTTATTAGAGAAAATCTATATACCTACTACAGAATATGTATAATTGGCTTATGAGGCTTCTATTCAAATTTACTTCGTTTTAATTAATTTTATATTTAGGTGTTTTCGTTCGTTGAATTTAAGACTGACCGAAGCACCAATAGAAAAAGTTTGAATTAAACAATTTACAGAAAAAATATACCCGCAGCACTGTCACAGCAGAATCAAACCCCGGATTTAAAGCAATAGACAAAATATTACCAGGATATACAAACAAAACAAGACAAAGCAAACAGTTTCATACCATTCTTATAACTCTTTTAGTATATTTAGTTTAAATTATAAAATCTATATTTTGTCTAGTTCTTTTGTTACTCATAGCCGTTTTTCTTGGCTCTGTCGCCATAATTCTGTGTTCTGCACGAGAATTGCAATGTTTATGTGAATCGTAAGGTGCCATTTTAAGCGAAATGACTATGGCTATATTAAACGTTAGTTAAGTGAGAATTTAGTTACTTTTCAAACTATTTTTTTTACGTGTACACCTGTGTTCGTTCTCTTATTATAATTATTGTTGCGTTCAAATCCCCTATGTAATAGCGTAGACTTCTTTTTCAATGGTGTCGATTCTGGCATGATTCTCTAAACTTAAAACTAAATTTAACATCAGTCTCTCCTTTTCATTCTGTATTGAGAATGACAAGTATATACTGCTGTGAAATTTAAGTATAGGTTTAGAGAATCATGCCAGAATCGACACCAATGTCTTTGTTCGTGACTTTAAACTTTGTACATTTACCTAAAATGTTAAAAAATTGTTGCTACTGATTGATTACGTTGTACAATATGTTTTTTGTTGTAATAAAATTACACATTATCATTATAATAAAAATAAATAGTGCATAGCGATAAAGGTTTTTAATATAATTCTCAATGTTAAATGTTCCTAAATTTCAACAGTGTGAATTTTGTCAACAACAAGAAATTACTAATAAATATTGTCAATGTTTTTATTGATTCTTTTGCTTGCCATAAGTTGTCATAAACACTGTATTTACACGGATAGCTCAACTTTTTTCTAGCACACAGTAGGAGAATAAGTACGAAATGAGGCTCAGAGACTCCGGTGTAAGTTTTCAAAATGTCACTAGATTGTAGTAACTAATACATTTTAATATTAGTAACAGATACGACAAGTGAAACCTGTATTTGAAAACTTAATTCCTTTTAGCCATAGACTTGTAACATTGTAACAAGGTTTGATGCAAAACTTATATCTGGGGCTCGACTAGGTCTTTAAGACCGAGGAAGTTAAGCTCTTCAAAGTTATAAAAGTTGGGAAATCTGTATAAAGTCTGCAACGTTGTAACTTTATCTAGTTGAATATACATCACTTCAATAATATATATATAGGTACTATTGTCGACTTAAGTCGTTTAAAAGAATCACCAACTGTTATATTTCTTTTTTTAATTAAATAAAAAAAAATAGCAGTAAGAAAATCTTAAGTGTAAATGTAAACACATAATTTATTGTAAAACAATAGATACGGTTTAAGTAATATTTAGTGCCTGCTTTATAATTCTATTACTTATTGTGTTTTTTATATTGAGGGAAATTGAAAAGACATATTTTTGCTCGAACTTCTGAGAAGATTTTTTAGGAGTAGTGTTCGAAACACTGTCTTATTAGTAATGGAGTGCTTTATATACTTTTAACTTACAACTATCAGAGGCTTCCTAAAGTAAAAAAAAAAGCTATATTTTTAAGATTCTGTTGTTATTGTTAGATACGTAAAAGCTTAGCCATTACATTTGTTTAGTTGTTTAGTAAGCTTTATTATTAAATTGGAAGACTAGTGTTCTGGTGCTAAATTTGAAATGTTCGTGTTTAAAAATAAATGAAATGGTTCGAATCGAAAGTCGAAAATGTAACTTGAAAATTGTAATCAATTTTATTGTTTCGCAACATTCCGTATGAGAGAAACCGTTAAGTTTTTATTTGCAGTAATGTTTGAAGGGTATATTATATAAAGTAGGTTTGTTGTTTTTTTGTGTAGTAATTTAGCAAATAGTTTTCTTGTTAATTTGGGTTTGGGAATAAAGTTAGTCGACTAACTAGCGGTAAGGTTTATCTGAATTCATATAGTTATAATAGCTTCTATGTTTATAATTTACGATTACAGGGATGTGCTGCGTAGGCAGTACGTTTGCGATTTGGCTAGTAGAGAGCAAGGAATTATGTGAATTCTCTATGATTGTTTCGTCAAATGGAAATGGGGAAAGCCAAAATTTAATAAGCGCTATAGACTGATTAGAGTAAGAACGCATTTGAATCGTACACTATTAGGCATATTTTATAGATAAAAAAAATGTACATTATTTACTCTAAATTAATAATTTTATAAAAAAAAAGTAATGAAAATGACTGCGCGATCGCGAGGTTATCGCGCTAGCTTCGTTTAGGTTTTGTTTTGGTATTATAGTCTAAATTTGAGATGAAACGAGTTGATCTTTCTTTGAAGTCATAGGTGCTAAGTTTTTGGGATCTCAGGGCCTGTGGGCCGCATGGGTTTTGGGGCTGGACTACACCATGTTCTAAGGAGCAGAACACATCCCTGTCGAACTACATTAGTTAGGATTTTAGCCAGTTTAAGACTGTTTCTGTGACCTGTTTACGTTTTTTATCTTTCTAACTTTGTTAAGGTAACATTTTTTTTTTCAACGCACCTCGCGTGCTCGACTTTATTCAATGTGTTCTTTATATACTTCTTGTTGGCTTTTTACTTATTTTATAAGGAATCTAAATTAATTTATTGGTTATTATTATTATTATATTGAAATTTTATATTATTTTTTTTAAATTATTATTCTACAGTTCGATAAAGTAGACTTCATTTTGTTGACGATTGGCATCTGTGTAATGCAGTCCATTAGATGATAAGTAAAAAAATGTATGTGCCAAAAAAACGATTTTGCAAGTTTGTGTTGTCTTCCATTTCGAAACTTGATTCGTTAGAGCTAACGCCAATATATGCGAATCGACTAAATGTTATTATGATTGTGACAATGGGCTGCACTTTATTGAAATTCATTATTATTATATACCTTAAGTAACCATCAAGTTATTCATCACACGTTATATTATTATATAAATAGTTCTTTTCCTTCCTTACTTTTATTGAAAATACTTGACGTAACTACTCATAAAATGTAATTGTAATCGTTAAACCGAACTTCATAAATCCTAATATTGATGATAATGGCGTTTTTAATAAAAAACAAATATACGAAAAAAAATACATTGCCAGTTTTATTGTGACATCCGAATCGCTCACCCACATCTTTTATGTCTGTTTGATTTCTTTTGACAACCCTCTGAGATTAACGAGCGTAGGTAAAATACGTATTAAGTGCCGCACCGTATTTTATGTTCTATGGTTTCGAGCACGCTTCGCACACATTATCGTTTTCTGCCTAAAGTTCCTTTCCGCCACTGCATGTTGTTTGTTAACACTCACAGCCATGTAGCTTCGCCATCATTACTATTTATTTATTTAATTTTTTTCTTTTCCTTTTTTTGTAATCTTTAATTTATTTTTGGTTGTCTTATTTTGTTTTTGTTTTATTATTATTTCCTTAAAGTCACATTTGTTTCACTACGTTCAGTTGTATGCAATAAATAGCCCGGTTAGGAAGTGCCGTAGTCGCGCGGGGATCACACCCCACATTTGTTTTGTTTCTTTCGATCTGTTTCCAGGTAAAAAGTTATTCTCGTGCTCCTTATGCGGGAAAGTTCTGTGCTCAAAGGCGTCACTGAAGCGGCATATCGCGGACAAACACGCCGAGAGGCAGGAGGAGTACCGTTGCACTATTTGCGAGCGGGTGTACTGCTCGAGGAACTCGCTGATGACGCATATATACACCTACCACAAGTCGAGGCCCGGCGAGACGGACCAAATCCGGTTTTTTTAGTGACTACTTGGACGGAGCTGGCGCGGCCCTCGGCAGAGCTCGTCTAGCAAAGAGAACTACGGAGCCAACGCCGATAGCACCCAGCCAGGTTAGCACTACTTAAATAGACGACCAGCGCTAACAACGACACACAGATAGGGCAAACAGTTCCTTTACAACTATAATTTTTAAATTTATTCAGTTTGTATTTTTCAAAAATTTTTTTTTTCGTCTCGATTATGATTTCGGAACGTTTTTAGTTGGCCCCCCTCGCCCACCCCCCGCCCCGTTATGTTCTCACCCCGAGTCCGGGTTAAGCAGTTTTGACGTTGTTGTGTTGCTTGGAGCATGCTTCTATCATTTTTGTTATCACGTGTTTCTGTGTCATTGTGGTTGAGAGAATTATTATATAACTCGAGAACCGTTTTTTTTGAATATTATGAGAACTCGTGATCACTGTGTAGTTAGTCAATGTGTACAGTGCATATTAGTGTTTTTCTATAATCTATGGTCACGGCCGTAAACGCTCGTAGGGTTGCCACACGAGCGCGAATGTTTAAAGCGTCGAATTATGTTTTGCAGCCGTCCCGCCGCTCAGGATGCCGCCCCCCACAGCCGGCGGCATCAACGAGCCTCAGGAGTGTCCATACTGCCGACGGACCTTCTCTTGTTACTATTCCCTGAAGCGACACTTCCAAGACAAGCACGAGCAGTCGGACACGCTGTACGTTTGCGAGTTCTGCCATCGCCGCTACCGCACCAAGAACTCGCTGACGACGCACAAGAGCCTGCAGCATCGCGGCTCCAGCGGCATGCTGAAGCGGCTGCTGAAGACGTCGGCGCTGCACTCGGCGCTGGCGCCGGCGCCGCACCTGTTCGACCTGCCGCATGAGCCGCAACTGCCGCCCGGCCTGCAATGACCTCAGCCCACGGCCTGAACGCTCCCCGCACCCAGCGCCCGCGACCCGCACTGTGCAATACGGACGATGCCAAAACACGCCGCATTCTAATCGTATTAATAATTATATAGAAAAATATTTCACATTAGGTTTAATTACTTACAGTATTGACGTAGCGTCGCAGCCTCCGCGGCTTTTAGGGACGTCCACCGTGTTCAATGAGACAATGTAACCAGAGCAATACTAAAGTATATGTGTCTAGTACTGCCAAATTTTAATGCCAACTGTATTCTAAAGGTGAAAAACATTTATAGGAAAATGAATAATGAATACATCTTTCTCGATGAATGTTTAGTGTCAAATTAGCATCGGTAACTGTACAAAATGAGAACGTACAAATTTTAAACAGTAAATTTTAAAATGGAAAGAAAATATTTTTTAAAGAAACTTTTTCGGAACGCCAAATCTAAATTTAAAAAAAAATACAGATTATTTAGGGGTTAAAATGACAAAAAAAAAGATATATAGATTAAAATAAAATGTTGATGTTGAGTAAAATTAAAGACTTCTTAGAATCTGATTTCGAAAGTACAAAATTAAAGTCTAATTGAACAATATTAATCTATTCTATGTGCGTTTGGCTTCAATAATTATGAGCAATGATCAATGTGTAAGTAGCCGTGCCTTCGTTCGTCTTCATGCCATTATTATTGGTAGAAATAGCTGACCAGGTATCGCATGCGCAGGGAGCGAATGACGAACGATGCTCGCCAACGGTGCGGCCCGCTCGCCGTTCGCCGCTCGCCGCCCGCCGTTCGCCGCTCGCTCGCGGCGCTCAGCTCCGCACGTATAGAGCTTTATTGTGTTTTGTTTTGGGTATATATTATAATGTACTCGATTATAGATGTAGATATGCATAAGGATGTATTGTATTCGTGAAAGTGCGGAGTTGGAGCGTCTCGGGCGCGGGTATGCGCGCGCGCAGCTGCGAGCGGGACGGCACCACGTCTGTGAGCGAGAAGGATGTAACGGTGAAAATTCGGAATAGGACCGATGCCCGGGGCGGCATCGGCGGTCCCGCACGATCCTTGAATACAGGGTTAGTTCGAGTACGAGATTTAGGAAATGGCGCCGGGTCGAGAGTTGCAGGTCTTCGGATAGTATTTCGATGATCGTATACGGATGCATGATTTCAAATCATGAAGTTAAAATTAATCACTTCTTCTGTATAAAAATAACGTAGAGCTTAGGTATTAACTAATAGAATTATATTTAATTAAACTGTATCCATTTTCGGATTTCTCTCTATGAGTGTATAGTGGTTCTTTTTTAAATGTCGACCAACGTAGCGGACGTCTCGTTATTGAAATTTTATTAGATTATTATTATTATTATTATATTCTCAAAAATCTTAGGATTAACCATAAGATGGCTGCAGATTGTAAAAAAATATTTTATTTACTTATATTTAGGAAATTGCTTGAGTACCGCATTCGTTTCAAATATGAAATACATATCCGCTCAGGGTTAAAAATCATATAATTATCAAAATCAATCAGCTGCTATCGATACAAATCACATATCACAAAATTATATCTTCTATTCTAAATAACATTACGAAAAAGAGTATTTTTTAAAACCGTGATATTTCGCAAAGCCAAAGAAAAATAAATGAAATAGTTGCATTTATTTCCAATAGAATAAAACAAAAAAAAGTTATTATGTTCGAAACAAATATTAATTAAAAATGAAAATGATACATAATGGTGCCATAAACATCTTTTGTGCATTTTTTCCAAATTTCTAACATATCACAGTTCACTGTAAGTGAAATTGTTTATGAAACGTAAAAAAATCAATGCATATTCACACTTTAATGCATTTTCGAATACAATGCAACTTTAATTTTAAAATTATATATTTTAACGAGCATTCAAATCAGAGTGTGGAACATAATTTTTGCATTTATATTAACAATGTTTAAGTAGCTTTTTATTAAGAAAGAAAATCTAATATACTTAAGTTTTTTTTTAAATACATATATAATTTTTCATTTATTTTCGAAATGTTACATAATTATTCGTACTTTGTGATATGGTTACATTTAAATGAACGTTACTCGGTACATGTACCCAGTTAGTATATATACGATTAAGTTTTTTTTTTTTAATTAACTCTCGAGGGGTTTTGTTTTAACCGAAAATTAAAAGTTTAACTTTTACTTCAGCCGCCGGCTTAGAACGCATTTACCTCCGTATGTTTGTAATACCTCAAGGATAATATTAATGTTTTTTTTTTTTAATTATTATTTTAATTTCGACGTTGCACTGAACTGGCTGTATACGGACCTCCGTGGTACGGTGAAATAAAATTAAAAATAAAATAGTCGGAGCTTAGGCAGAAAGAAGCGGGTAGTATGAATTGTAAATAAGTTATAAGTTAGTGTCTACATACACGGAGCATCGTGGCGTCATGAAAAGAGCCTCGTGATATTATAAACTAATAGTAAATAGTTAAAAATCATTAACGGAAAAGGATTTTTATATATTCTACTAATGGATTAATTAATAGTGAAACTTAGGCGTAGTTGTCGTAATGTTTTTTTTTTAAATGATTTTTTTTTCGTGTTGATTGTTTTCGCTGTTCATTGGGTTCGGCTGTTGCAAGGTTATATTTATTGGGCCCGTTCGGTCTCCCACCAATTTTGTTGTGTTGAATTTTGGATTTTGGAGTTGACATTTGGAAGTTTTGATCTCAATCAACAGCTGCGAACTACATCAAAAATTTTGGAGACAGCCGTTTGTTATTAATAAAATTAATTGTAATGAAAATTCTCGTGTTTATTATCGTGTCTATTTTTATTTTTTTTTTGTATAAATGTGTCGGCAAAAAGGGGAGTGATCGCAGCTAGTTACAAAAAAAATGGTGTGGCAAAATTATTTAAAAAAAAAGTACATAATTAAATATAACAGCGAAACAATATTGAATATTTTGCAATGTATACCAAAATACTGCATTTTTTAAATGTTAAGATGATAAAAGTGAGATACAGATTGTCTGTTTTTTTTTTAATATAATACAGTTTATAATCTTGGATTTAACATATTTTTGCATCTTCGCCAGTTATTTAAGTTAAAGCATGAAAAATATTATATAAAATCAGACTGTGTTACCATAAGTGACGCACTCCATAAACGGCTTGCCTTCATAACAGTACAACTCTTTCAGTAGATAAAAATATTTAAATATAAATAATCACTCACAAATGACATTGCGGGGTAAAATTAAATTTTATTATATATTTTAACACAAACATTAAATCGATGAATAAATATTTAAATAAAAACAACAGCTATATGTTGTTTAGTAGAGCAATTTAATAACAACTTTAAAGTAATGAATAGCAACTTAAATAAGACAATTTTAATATATATCGCAGTAGGACAGCAGTAATATTTTTTAGTTATGTTATTATGAAATCAAAATCCCTGGATGTCATTTTGGTGTAGGATTTCAAAGCGGAATCTAATTGCGGTAATTAAAAAAAAACATCATAAAACCAATAATAAAACTTTGCAAAAAATAACGTTCAAAACCGTAAATAAAAAATAAGAATCACACGTCAAACGTGTTAAGGATTATTTTATTCAATTATATGTAATTAGAGTCTGTGCGGCAAGAGAATGGGATTTAGATTGGAGGGCGCTGTAGTGCTTTTCTACTGTATTTGTAAGGTTTTACCCCTTTTAGACATGATGAATACAAAAAAACCGCAAGAAATAACAACAACAAACAAATCCGTATCAATACAAAACTTTGACGTTTTACAGATTGCTAAGTTTGATTGCCAAATAAAAATCTTAATGTTAGTTCCGTTTTTCGCCACGCCCATTCTCTTTCCGCACAGACTCTACTAACAATTGACATGTTCACAAACCGTTTTCACAAATATAAAATGTTTTTTTAAGAGAAAATGCTTTTTTACATAAGTATTACCTCCAATAATGTTAAGTATTACCTCCAACTATATCATTTAATTTTTAATGTTTTAATGTAACTATGATTCTGTTGTCTGTCAAACAGTCACGGCATTCTTTGTGTAAGTGTGACATTATTTCACGTATCTCAGACTTACGCATTTTTTACCTCCACAGACTAACATGTAGGCAAATATAAGTATCGCTGTTGGAATACATATAAGTTTAATGTAATCGTTTCAGCCAAATAAAGGTTACTAATGTTTTATATTTGTCGGAATGTCTCTAACGTACGAGCAAATCAAAAGTCATCCTGAGTGTAAGTTATTGCATTTTTAGACACAAACACTGTCAAAAAAAAAATCTCCATCGACTTCGAAAAAGTAGAAATCTTTTTCTTTCATAAATATTAAATGGATTCGTGTTTGATTTTAACTTACACAAGGGGTTAACTGAATAGATTTGATCATTCATTTCGTACGCCATTAATAATACAATAATTAATGTAAATGTCAATCTAAGATATAACAGTTGTTGCATAGTTATTACCATACACACATATGTTATTTTTGTTGATCCATATTCCATATTTAAAATGCAATAGTTTTTCGTCAACGTATTCATGTGCAGTTGTCATGTGATTATTTTTGAGTAGTATGACGGCTGTATATGAATACGCAGACGGCCCAGTACCTACAATAGTTAATTATAATGAAATCGTTTAAAAATTGCTCGACCGGAGATGCGAACTTTTTCTTGGGGGTAAATCGACATCATTCCACTGGTGAAACTTCCGTATAAGTTCTGTAGTTTTTTTTTATTTTTTTCAAAATAAAGGGCTCAATTTTATATTGCATTTAGCAACTTCAAATTCATTCATCGCATTTTTTATACGCCACATTTACAAAACGGATAATTCTCAGTGAATTTTGAGTAGAAACATTAACATGAGTTCACACAATCGTAAACGGCTTTAAGTAAAGTTATTGAGCTTGTTCCCTAAATTCTACTTATTCACAATATGTTTAATTTCAATTTTTATTAAAAGAAACGGTTGCCTATACATAAGGTTAAGTTCAAAACAGTGTAAGTACACTTACACTACTTTTCCCGATTAAGTGGGAGTTAGATATTAAAACGAATGAGTCGATTCAGCCTTAAGTACAATAGCTTTAATATTTATTATATCACTCACTTCTTATAATATAATTAACATGATAGCAATAGTTCCCAATCTGCCATAGTACCTCAGTAATATTATTATCTATATTAATGAATAAGCATCATACCTGGCAGATTTCTCGTCAGTTTCATTTAAAAGTTTTAATGTTTTTTTTTTGTAGTTGATTAGTATTTATGTACTCGACAAATCTGCTGGGCAAAGGTTAATATACATAGTTCCATGACTCAAAGTGCACT